CACCGGTGGTGTGCCCCAGGGTGAGTACTGTGTAGCATCTTTGTTAATAACCTGGACGATGGGATAGAGTGCACCCTCAGCAAGTTTGCAGATGATTCCAAGCCAGGAAGAGTGGTTGGTACACCAGAGGGTTGTGCCACCATTCAGGGAGCCCTTGAGAGGCTGGAGAGCTGGACCAGCAGGAAGTGCATGAAGTTTGCCAAGGGGAAGTACAAAATCCTGCTCCTGGGGAGGAATAACCCAATCCAGCAGTCGATGCTGGAGGGGTTCACCAGCTGGGAAGCCATGCAGCAAAGGCCATGAGGGTCCTGGTGGAGAAAAGGTTGAGCATGGGCCACCAACATGCCCTTGTGGCAAGGGCGGCCGCCAGCCTGCTGGGCTGCTTTAGGAAGAGCATAGCCAGCAGGTCACGGGAGATGATCCTTCACTCAGCCCTGGTGAAGCCACATCTGTACTCCTGGGTCCAGTCCTGGGCTCCCCAGTACAAGAGAGACATGGACATACCAGAGCAGTCCAGCGAAGCAGCGCAAAGATGATGGAGGGATTGGAGCATCTGCAATATGAGGAGACGCCAAGAGAGCTGGAATTGTTCAGCCTGGAGAAGAGAAGGCTCCAGGAGGATCTTACCAATATGTATGGACACCTGACGGGAGGGATTATAGAAGGAAATGGAGCCAGACTCTTCTCAGTGGTGTCCAGTGACAGGACACAAATTGAAATACAGGAAATTCCGCTTAAACATAAGAGAGAACTCATTTTGCTGTGAAGGTGACTGCACACCAGAGCAGGTTGCCCCAAGAGGCTGTGGAGTTTCTGTCCTTGGAGATATTGAAAACCCAAATAGACACAGTCCTGGGCAACCTGCTCTAGTGGACCCTACTTTGAGCAGGGGGGCTGGACTGGGCCATCTTCAGGGATGCTTTCCAACCTCAACTCCTCTGCCATGCTGTGAACCATATAGTGGTGAAAGCCACTTTCCTCAGGCTGTGCACAAGGCTGGTCCCTCACCTGCACAAACAGCCTGTTGACATAGGAGTCCTCTTACTTAAGAGGCAGCAGATAGTAAGAACAATGTAAAACGGGGAACTGAGCTGTTAGAGGCCAACTGGGCATGTGCAAAGCCGTAACTGGTGCTGTGTCCTAGTGTGCATTGTTATTGAGAAGGTACATGGCCAGCCCACCCTCCTGTGTGCAGACCCCACAGAACTAGTCAGGGTTTTGCCCATCATATCATCAGAAGAACACCAACCAAACTAGCAAAGATCAGATCAGAGGTCTGTTTCTTCTTCTGCCTGTCCTGCACTGGGCAGTGGCCAGCAGCAGATGCTTAGGGACAGAACACGAGAAATAAAGCGCTCACGCTCGGTGTGAGTTCCCTAGCACACTCTCCCAAGTTCCTAACAACCTGCAATTCAGGAACTTCTTGTGCAAGACTTTGTAGCCGTATCAGTTTTCAGTAGGTCTTGATGAACTTTTCTTCTATGATTTTTTTAAAGCACTTTACATTCGATGGCAACAACCTATATAGCTTAATTGTACACTATATATAAAAAGTATTTTTATTTTGAATATTTCTTGATAACCTCACTGGACACACTGTATGTCTTGTACTGTGAGAAATACATGTAAATGTATCCTCTTCACATTACTCACCATTTGTAAGATCTACCATGCAGTGTCCTTTCCAAACTGTAGTAGTCTACTTGTAGTACTACTGTATGTAGTAACCCTCCCACAGGCAGCTTCCTTTAATTAGCCAAATTTGATCAAGACTGACTTGCCAGGGGTATTCCAAGGACCTTGCTGTCAATATAGCAAAGCTGAGCGTACACAAAAGCCGCTTGCACGCAATGGGCAGAGAAATGCAAGCATGGAAGATTTGAAATGGAAGCATGGAAGAGTTACATATCATGGATTACTTCTGGAATACTTCCAAGCACCTTGAATCACCACTGGAAAAATCACTTGCATCGAAGCAGGGTGGGATAGGAAGATGTACAGAACAAGAATTTTGTGGAACTCTATGCTGATTTTGATATAGAAAAAAACATATATTATCAGCACAAGGAGCATAAAGACAAATGTCATTGTTATCCTTTGCTGGAGACCCAGCTTACCAGCTGCTGCTCTGTACCATTAACCTGCACATCTGCTACCTTGATTCCCACAACAAGCTGGGCAATTAGAAAATAATGTTTGAATGCAAATCTGAGCTTCTGAAAGCATGAGAGTCCTCAGTGTGCAGGAAACTCTACTGTGGTGAAATCCCACTCTCTTTCTGAGGCTGCACACACCAGTGGCAAGGATTTGGCAAATTTTGTATGGCAGAATCTTGAGAGACATGAGCAGCTTTTTAAACATTGCCAGGGTGCCTGGGTTTCAGGTTTTGACCAAGCAGATGTGTCTGACCAGCCTTCCCAAAGCTCCTCTCCTCCCACCACTGTTTTTGGAAAGCAGCTCCTCATTCCTCATTTCCTTCTTCCATATTTTACTTATCTAAAAGCACCAAATGAAATGAAGCATGTTAAACAGCCAGAATTTTATCATGCAAAATACAAAGCTCTGCAAAAACTTCAGATTAGGGAGAATATAATTGGGATAATTGAAATTGGAAAAAGGATCCAAAATGCTTTTTTTATAAAAAAGTATTAAAAGGGATAGCTCTGCAGAAGGGAGATAGTTTACAGTTACTGGTAACAACTGAAGCATTAGAGAGTGTAGGGATTTCTCCGTCTTTCAAGCAGACACTGCTTAAGGCCAGAGCCGGGCGAGCCCGAGCTGGTGACAGCACAGCCAAGGTAAGTGCTGGAGCACCACGCCGGAGGCCAGCACACAGACTAAGGCTCCACGCTGCCCTAAGGGAAGAGCCGTGCTCTTCACCCCAGCAACTGAATCCAGGGCATCACTAGGTCCTGACTTGGTTCCCAAGAATTAAATGTTTTTCGCAGACTGCAGCACTCCAGACTATTAGGATTGGGACAGGAGGGAGGGCTAACTACAACGCACAGCTCATCTCCAAGCCCGGCGGATCACAGTCTTCCTCAGCAGGACAGATGGGGAGAAGAGGCTCCTACCTTCCAGCTGCCTGTCTCTCCTGACAGAGATGTAAAACGTTTGCAGCCTGACTTGGAAAGTTGCAGCTGCTACAAATGGACGCGGTGGCCTGCCCGCAGATGCTGGGGGGGGTGGGACGCGTTGGCCTGCCAGCAGCTGCTGGTGGGCTGGCTTCCTTGTGTCTGACCTTGCCTTTGGACCTGCAGGTTTGTGCGTCCTGCTGACAGCCCCAGACAGCCATCTGCTGGGCAACTGCATCGTAAACCAACCTAGAGCAGCTTTTACAACTAGGATGATTATGTTTCAGTTCCTCCTGCCTTCCTGCGAGATTAGGAGCTCCACAGGATGCCCCTAAAAATTCCAGTGTCTGGAATTTTAAGAGAGGAGCGGCAGAGTCTGCGCGTGTCTGTCCCTCCCAAGAAGCGTCAGTGTTTCTGGAACATGTAAGTGAAAGGGAAGGAAAAAATTCAGCTTTGTAACACTGCTTCAAGCTGAAAATAACTTCTACACGTCACAGCCCAAGCATTGAAGTCAGAAAGGTGGCCAGAGCAGCTAGGGAACCAAAGCGGTACAGGAGAGCATTTGGTGGTCAGGAAGCAGCCAGCCATAAAAGCAGACCTGGTCCTCTTGAAACTCACTGGATTTAGCCTCAGTAAACCTAGAGTTGTGTTTAAAACCGTCTGAGAGATTAATGTCCTTTAATCACTTCTCTGAACCAGCATCAACTCAGTGTTCATGCTTTAGTATTTCATTCGTCCATCGCTGCAGTGACTTTGAGGAGCAGGAGCAGCAGCAGGTTACCAAGCAGCGAGGAACGGGGAAGGTCCACGGCAGGTAAGGCGGCAGCAAGGGCACAGAGGCAGCTCCAAGCAGCTGAGATTTTCCCACACCAGGGGCTAACCCACCCTGTAACACACAAGAGGTGGACTCTGGGGAAGGCAGGTTCCCTTCTGCTCCTTCCAAAGAACTGGGAGGGAAAGTGGGATTCACGGCTTCTGCAGCACCTTTGGGTGGAAGGTATTTAGGGCTGACCCTGCCTGTGGGAAGATGAGGTGAAGATTGTCTCCTAAAGGTAGGAGACCTTCCACAGTCAAGATGTGTTATTTAGTGTCTGGCTTTAAACAGCTGCGGCCGCTACACAGCGCCTAACAGGGCTTGTATGACAAACATGGGAAGTGCAGAACATTCATTTCCACAGCTCGTGTCAGACAGCCAGGAATCCAAAAGGCGAGGGGTTAACAATTAAAGACAGCACGGCACAACTTCCCAATCCATCTCAGAATTAAGAATTGGAAACCTTTTGCAAAACTAACCATGCATGACCATGCAAAAAGTAAGTGAACCGAAGCACACATTCTAGCCAAGCAGCAGCTAGCTTTATTGAGTTCCAGTAACATTACATCAAAACCAAAAGAAGTTAAAGTTGCATTTTGCTTCTTAGCATTACTCATTTCTCAAATGAAAATGTGATTATGTTTAATAATATAAAGAGAAAGTGATTAAACTGAGGAACAGGAGCAAGAATAAAGTTAGACAAGACTGCAGAGCCAGTGTCTCCTTCACGTATCCCCCTCGTGTCAGAGAAAGTGAGTTCTTGGAAGTCCTGTTAATTTTCTCAGGTCAGGGATTGAACCCCAGGACACAGCATGTGATGAATCAAATGTATCGTGGGTTGCTGTGAACCACACTGTACTTTTGCAATCGCATTTGAGATATCTTCAGTGGGACAGGAAGGGATTTCAGAGAAAAGTTCAGGTTAATCAAACACATTTCCCCACTGGCTGCCACAGTAAAGCTCAGTACAAATGTTAAGCATAATTCATATTTCCTCCTAGTTCCACAGAAAAGATCAGTGTGCAGGACCTGATACGGTATCTGTAATACCTCTCAACCCACTGAAACATAGCTCTGGCCCCCTCCGCTTAGTTCTGTGTTTGCTGCATTACACGCGTATAAGATTAAAGCCACTGTCAACATAGAAATAGCCACAACTAAAAAACTACAAGAGATGAGAACGCTATCTGACATTGCTTGTAGATACTAGTATGTGCAGCTGCTAACTCGTGCCCTGAGAGTTAAGTACACACTGCCAAACAATTACTTTAGGGAAGTTTTTCAGCATTAATAGCTACATGTTTCTTCAGTAAACAAAGAATTACATTTTAAGAAGTGTCCCCTTCTTCCATGAGGAAGTACTTAAGGTAGTGTGTGTAATAGTGACAGCTGTCTGTTAGCAGCAGTACTGCTGTGGTACATCAGCTCAGAAGACAAAAGTGTATCACCTCTAACTCCTCATCAACTCCGTCTCAGAGCTTCAGCTTACACTTCTGAACGGCACATAGCACCACCTAAAGAACGTGAGGAAGGCCAAAAGGTATTAGGCAAGCAATCATTTCTGAAACTTCAAGTGATCATTCATTTATTCCTTTGAGGCAGACTTTCACTGTCTTCCTTCTCTCTAATTTCCAAAGACCTCCTAGTCTTCATAGACCTGGCACAATCCAGTTAAGAAACTTCATGGCAACTTCAAAACCAAGAAAACATGCCTGGAAAACAGAACATACAGAACACATAAGGATTCTAAAACCCTATTCCAAACAAGGTTTTTGAAACACAGCACTATAAACACCTGACGTGGCTGATGTGGAAGGAGGAAGAGAACAAAAAAAGGTCTTAAACCAGATGCAAGAATTCTACTACATCCCTCCACACAAAGGCAGACCTTCGACTCTGTTAGGCTCATTATTGAAGAAGCCAGTCCAAACTTATCCACCCATTTCTGTCTTCTACTGGTGGATGTACAATCAGACCAGAAATGCTATCTGGATGAGTTAACAAAGGGCTTTCATGCAAAGCGTCAAAGGAAGGTTTACTTGGTGTTCCCCCTAGGTTAAGGTGCATTTTTAGAACCTGGACAGCAACAGCCAGAAGTACCTGCAGTGACAAGAGTCTCACTGAAATGGTGCAAGAGAAGCAGCCAGTCATCTCCTCTACAGACTGCAAATATTCACTGTGAGCGGCCCATCTGGAATTGCAACTTACTTACCGCATTAGCCGGAAATGCCCTGATCATTACAGCTGTGAAGCCCTTATACAGAGATGCAACTCCTTCCTCTCTGATAAGTTCTCTCAGCACATCTCTAAAGCCATTTGGGTATTTTCCTGGAGGAGCTGAAAGGGATACAAAATACGTTAGCTAAGATGCATGGCAGTCACAAATGCTGAAGGATGTGGCATATGTAACAGCCCGGGATTTTCAACGGGTTCATATTGCTATACTATCCAGTGACACCAGAACCCAAGCATTGCTGAAGCTACATTGTGAAAACATCTGCTTGGGGAAATTATCTATTTCAGTCAAAAGCAAACAAACAAAGACACCTTACTAAAGACTCGGTAAACAGAAGGTAAGTGCTCACCATCACCACAAAGAATTTACCTAATCAAGACATTGAGGGGGCAGGGAAGAAAGGAGAATAACTTTTGTCAGGGTTGGACGTCTGAGCTGTTACTTGTGCCGCTGATCACAGCTCTCCCAAGAGCTGCAATTAGGAAACAGGAAGGTCAGATATAAAAATCGATGGCTTGTTTATAAGAAACAGAAAATGATCCTATCACATGCCCCAGCCAAGAAAAGCAACAAACTTCAAGTGAAAAGCACAGGCTCTTTTAATGCTGATGTTACATAGATTTGCTGGTAAAGAGTTATTTTATTCAAAGAAGAAGTTCTTCCTTCTCCTGACACGGCTCTGGAAAGTACTGCCTCTGCCAGCTGTCTGAACAAGTATTCCACAAACCAACCCAGTTAAACAGAACCACCATTAAGCACATCATCTATACAGCAGCATCAGGGATTGGCTCAGCAGAAAAGAGATGCAAAGCTGTCATGTATTTCACACTCAGCCCTTGGTACAATATCAAACAACCACGGCAGCCATTATTCAGAGAAAAAGAAGTTTCCTGCACTAGATTATCATGATCCATGACTCAAAAAAATGGTTACTGTACAGCAGAGACCTAAGTCCACAGAGAATACGAGGAACCTTAACAAAAATATTCATTGAGTAGGACTCCCAGAGAAACCAACAAAAAACCTGTCAGACTTCCCTAAAGGTCAAGACCTGGGGCCATCCTCACTATAACTAGGCCACAGATAACTCAGAGCAGATCTGCTAGTGTAAAAGCGATGCTCCCAGCAAGGCACATCCAGTTACTATAAATTTCAGATAGCACAGGCTACAGTTTATACAACTATGACGTTGAAATAACAAAACCTCTCAAAGAACTACATTTGTAATAAAACAGCCATGACAAGCTGTTCTATTATTATGATTTCTATGCTTAGGTTTCGAAACAAGTATCTCAAATCAGGATCATCATATTAGCAGGGAAGCAGAAACAGAGAAGTGCAGCCTGGTTTGCCAAAAATTTGCAAGGAAACCAACTAAAAAGTTAGGAACACACTTGGGTTTTTCATGTTCTTGTCTCAAGCAGTGCTCAAGACATGCTGCCTCCCAGATGCCATGCTCAGATGACATCTTCCATCGTGGTCTTGCCCATCCCCAGGAGCATCGCACTGAGTGTGGCTGTGACAAGCTGGCATGCAACTCACCAGTCTGGAAACGGGATTTCAGCACGTCTGGTGGAATGGCAACTGCCCAGTTGAAGATCCCAGCCAGGCCCCCAGCAAAAAGGATCCTAGGCACACTGAGGTCACTCACACTGTGGTAGGATTAGGGTGGGAGGAAAAAGAAAAAAAGGAAAAAAAAATAAAAGAAAGGAAAAAGTAAAAACTCGTCTGTTTTGACTAACGTGGCAACGAAAGAGGCAGCCTGGCTGACAGCCAGAAGGCAACACAATGCTGCAGACGCAGACAGTGCAGTATCTGAGCAAGACTGCCAGAATCAGAGTCCTGGGGGCAAAATCTACTAACTCCACCCTAATGGTTCAAATCTTTTCGAAGAAAAAAAACCAAACAACCCCGCAACCCCCAAAAAACCAACCAACCCCCAAAAACCCCCACACCACAAAAAAAAAAAAACCCAAAACAACAAAACCCCCCCCCCCCCCCCCCCAGCTCTTGTGCACACCCAGGGGTGGAAGCAAAGAGACCTACTTTAAGTATTCCTTACTTGGCTAATAAGATCCAAGGTGAGAATCTGAGAGAAACTCAGAATACTATTTTAATTGTCAGTTAACCCCAGACCAAACCAGCTCAAGTCACAAAACAAGTGACCTTTTTTTTAAAAAATTTGTTTTGAGGATACTGCTCTAAATCTCTTCATAACTGGGGAGATTAATCAGCAGTGTATGGGAAGTCCAGAAAATGATGACTGTGAGATTTCACTAACCTTTTTCCCTCAGGGGTCAGAATGTTCTTCAGCCATTCGTACGTCATGAAGTACATTCCGCTGGCTGGGACGTCTAGTGGGTAAACAACAAAGACTGTGAGTAGTGGGAAACGAAATGAAGCCTAGAGGCACAGCAGTCCCGTGCCAGCTCAGCAACACCACTAAGTACATTCAGATTCCTTTTCTGAACCTCCTCTACAAACAAAATAAAATCTTCTGTTGCTCTAGACAGAGGAGCCTGAACTTTCCCAGGGACAGAGGTGCTAAAGGCAAGAACTGGGAGAATATCTGTTCTCGAGCACTTCTGTCAGCAGCCTTTCAAATCAGACTATAACCTGCCCACTGGCCATTAGGCTAATGATGAGACAGCTCTAAGCTCTCTTAATTACTGCAAAGCAGATCAGAATAGTTCAGGAACTTCAAGAGTTTTTGCACACTATTTGTTCTATGGTTCTATTTTGTTCTGGTTTGGTTTTTTGTTTTTTTGGGTTTTTTTGTAGTTGATGCATTTTGTAAAGATATTCCCGCAGCCCACTCTTAGCTCATGCCTGAACCGGAGAACCGGCCTCTGGCTAGGGACGCCACCAGAGTTACATTGCTAGCTGTGACACTACTAGGAGAAGCAGAGCACAGAACAAATTCCTAAACTGAGATATAAAAACACAGAAATTTCAGCATATGCTTGGAAAACATTGCTCCAGTGCAGGGAACAATCTAACACTTTTCAAAGGAGAAAGTACTGAAACACATAAAGGATTCAGTGTCTAGCACGACAGATACTGTGAGAGGGGTGTTGACATCTTTGTTGTTGTTGTGAGAGAGGTCATGACATCCCAGTCCAAAATAACCCACACTCAAGCGGGTAGAAAGTGTAACTGCTGTAATCACATCTTTTAAAGCAGTCAGCATTACACAGCAACAGTCACAGACAGCCACAATCCTTCTCCCAAGGAAGGAAAAAAAAAGAAAGAAAAAAGAAAAGAAAAAAAAAAGCCCACTTCTGTATTTTTCTTTTCTCTTTGTTCTCTCTGCTCCTCTCCTGAAGTCTCTCATTCCTCTTGGCTTCTCAGATCTTAATTACTTCCTATATCCCTCTGATCCTTGTCATCTAATCTCTTCCTCACTCACTGAGAATCTCATGTTTATTTCTCAGTCCCTTTGAGACACTGGAGTGGCTCTGCAGACTGAAAAAAAAAAAAAAAACAGAAAAAAGGGTGACACAGCATCTCCAGTTGGCTAAAGGGACAGTGAGATCTATGATACTGTGTCAGGCTTCTTATCTTAAAGTACCCCATGCAGAAGAAGCATCAGAACATCTCCATCAGTTACCTCGCATGAGGGTGAGCACTGTCCCCTTGTACACGCCACGAATCCCAGCCTCGCGGTACAGCTGTTTTGCACAGTCCAAAGAGCCACTGTATTTAGTTTCACCCGTAGCTGCCTGGATCTGAAGGATTAAAGTGATAGTTTCTGACTGGTGAAGGTTTCTGGCTGGTGAACAATCATTCAGTTAAGAGTTAGAAAGCCACATGCGTGTTTCCAGAGAGGAAAGAGCACATACTTGTTCCACAGGCCCTCCTGCGTATGAAACTTCTACATCACTTCCTCAAACAGCGCTCTCCCATTCAAGCTGAGGATATGTTTACCGTTCCATGCAGCGGCTAGATTCTCCCTTATTTTTCCCCATTGTAAGTTTGAAACAACTGAAGTCAGTTCGGTAATTCTACACTTGCATTGACAAAAAGTAGCCTTCAAATAGTGAAATTCAAACAATTTGTATGTGTATAAAAGCTTCTGTGATAATATCACCTCTGTCAGAACTAATATGTGACCACCCATCACCATACTAACAGAGTTCAACAGAGTTGGAAATGAGCAAAGCTTCCCACCTCCGCTAAAGATGTTATTTTCATTTGTTCAGGTTTACATTTTCCCACAATACTTTAAAAACCCTGGAGGAGGTGTAAAGCTAACAGTCACCCAAACATCAGAAAAGTATTTCATGTATTTTGAAATGCATTCCTTAGTTATGTATTGGGAAGTTGTCAAGGTAATAGAAAATCTTTATACTAGAAAGAGTCTTATGATCTGGTAGTTTGGCTTTTTTTTTTTTTTTAAAAAAAAGAAGTTTCATTCTGAAAAACTGGACTTTTCCATACTCTGAAATGGACTGAGGCATCCACCAATGCCTCATATAATGCCACAGGCTTGTGCTCTGTAAAATGAATAGAGCAATGAATGCTGTATGAACTTATACTGTCATGGCGAGTTTGTATAATGCTTCTTCGTGACACAGTTGCATTACATGACAGTTGTCTCAGTCCTGTCAAAAAACAGAACAGAGTAAATGCACTAACCAAAGAAGTTCCTGGCATGGAAAGACAAGACCCCTAAAATTAAATTCCCATCACCACCATCCAATGCCTTACCTGTAAAAGGCACTTGATTCTTTCTCCTGGAGCCATGATTACTGTTGTGAACACTCCTGACAACATGCCAGCAGCAAACAGCTGAGGATATCTGCCCCGAGGAAACAGAAGAGACCCTAACACAACACAGTACACAGGAAATGAAGGGCAGAAAACCCCCTGTATCACCAGATCACGCTGTTCCACACAAGGCTGGCGGTGGAACTAGAAATACATCCACTGCTTTTGATCAGTGCAGAAGCTCCTCATCAGTGCATAATTAGAGCTAAACATTTAAGATCTCTAGGATTGAAAGCCCTGGTTCCCACAGCAACCATAACTCAGCTCTTCACATCCATTGTATTTGCTAATATTCCTTGTACCTGCATTTTTTGCTACAGCATTCCTCATTCTTTTTCATACTCAACAGTCCTTTCCTCCTCCAGTCTCTCACACTCTTCTCAGTGACCCCAGCTTCCACGTATATTCCTGCTTGTGCAGCCAGGAGCTGTAATCTCTCAGTCCCTCACTCCTTCAGCCTCTGCCATTGTCAAGTCTGTCCCATCAACCTGCCATCATCGCACACATACTGCACCTGCTTTCAAGCGGCAAAGTCTCCATGACAAATATCCCTTTAACAGACTGAGTTTCTCCATCACAAGCTCATTTTTACATCCAACATCCTGCTACCTTCCCAAGCAAGATGACCCAATATCTCCATTTAATTAAACTCCACACCTCTCTCTTCCCTCCGCTTGCCCAAGAGATGGCATTCTATTCAGTTTTTCCAATTCTTACATCTTTCTTTACTCTTAAATTCCCACTAAATCTTCCAGACATCCCTCACCACTCACCTCCTGCTCAAACTAAGCTTTGAGTTTTCTAACTCACTTTGGGATTATTCATCCCCAGAAAAGATAGAACAGGCTCCTCAAGTTTCTTTCCATCTCTTTCCTTCCAAAACTTTCCTTAAAAAAATCAACACAGAGAACCACTGCCATCCTGCCTGCCTCTAGACCCATAACCATGGTGCTAAGAGTCTGACCTTTCTTTTTGGACCTCACATCCCAGGCACACTGTATCTCACCGTGTAAAGTCTGCACCCAAGGTACAGCACAGTTGGGCACAACGACAGTTCCACCATGTATTTCTTGACCTTTGCTCTTTCTCTCTCACAGCTCTGCTAGGGAGGAGTTCTGTGTAAAGACTCAAAAAACTACGCTGCCCTGCTCCAGGTTGCTCCTTAAAACTTCCCTTTGGTATGATGTGCATAAAACACAAGGCACTGAGGTGATAAGACTGCTGGAAATAAGACCATTTGTTCCCTTGAATTCTCCACTCCTTATTGTTCCCCTTGTCTTACCCTCAGCCTTGTCTGCATGAGGACACTACCGCGGTAAAATGGAGTGCCCCAGCATCTCAGCACTGCTTCCCTCTGAGCAGAGGGAGCTCACTCCGTGTCACAGCAGCGGCTAATGCTGTACAGCAGCCCCTACGCAGGTAAGGGTCTGACAGAAACCGCACCTCCCCACCCCACCACGCTTGGCTCAACACAATGGACTCCTGCTTTCTGACAGAGCTCCTACGTATTCCACAAATAATAGAATAAAATGTTGCTAAGCTACAGTTCTGTTCCTGTAGAGCTATAAATCACAACTTGGCAAAGAAGTCAAGGGAGTACTTTATGGGTGGGGGGCTTTCTTCATGCATGAAGTTAGCTTGTAGAAAACCACACAAAGTTTTCATAGCTTCCCATCTCTTTTCCAGGTTAGACATGCCTGAGAGGAGGGCGGCTCATAAACACCTCTTTTCAGAAATTAATAATAAAACATTTCTATGGCTATTATTATATCCTAACATAAGGACACAGCAAGAGTCACAACTAACAAGGAAAAGAGAATCAGCACTGTGAACGTTGTCAAGACTGCTTGACCATGAATTTATTTCTCCCATAGTCTCTGTTAAGAGCGAAACCGTTGGCAGGCAATCATTATGTAACTCGCACTGTACTCATCTAAAACGGAATTGTTCCTTAATAGCTCGCTCTTGCGTAGAAAGGGAATTGCATAGCACCTGCCCACATGCTGTCTGTTTTTAGCCTGTGCCATCAGTCCCACGCTTCCAGAAGCATTAAAACACACCAGTGTTTTATTTTTTTAGAACTATATTTATAACTAGGAGAAGAGACAAATTTACACCACAACTCAATGTACAGCAATACAGCAGGCTGCAAGAGCCTTAGGGTGCCTTTCCCAACTGTCTGATTAACTCAGAAACTCACGTCAAAATGTCATCAGGTTTTGTCTGTTGGAGTCTTTTTCCCAAGCCAAATCCAAAGAAGCACACAGCAAACATAGGTGTCACTCCGATAATAGGAGCTGCCATTCCTCTATATAAGCCTCGGACTCCCTGTAAGAAACATTATCACAGGAATTATTAGGTTTTACATAGACTTTGCACACATTTCAACTTATTGAGAAGCAAAAGGCTACAATACAGGAAAGTATCAGTCAGACGGTCAAATTAATCAGAGGAATAACAGGGTCTATTGTTCATTTGGAATTACATATGTGCTTAGCTGAGGCTCAGGGCCTGTTGCAGAGCAAAGCTATCCTTTCTGGAAAACACTGGCCCCACCTATACCCTTTTGTTCCAATGCTGTTCAACCTGTACTTACATCTCAAGTATGAGGAAGTTAAGTTAAAAGCCACCTGAATAATAGTCCTAATAGATCACGTCAAAACTCTTCCCTTTTAGATACATACAAAACTGTACAAGTGCTTTATTAACAGGTCATCAAATGCAACAGTGTAAAATCCTGACACTGAGTCTGAGAACGCTGAATTGAATTCATTCTTTAGATAAAGGAAGAGCCAGGGAGACTAACCTGAACTACATCACTGCCCACACAAACTCAATTTGGAATGAGTTCAAATGAATTTTTTTTTTTCTTTCCTTCCCCAAGTCAAAACTTTTTCACCATACAACTTTACATTCCTGATGTTTCCCTTCATCAGCCTGAGCAGCTGAAAAAATCTAATGCAGACCCCAGCAGTAGCATTTATTTCATGTATCTTGACTTTGAACTGAACTTTTTCTAATAAAAAGGAGAGTTATCTTTCCAGATGAAGGCTAGATGCACAAATTAAATATTTGCTGGTCCATCCAGCCCCTCCTTCGCCCCCAAATAAATCAGTGTACCCCAGTACGTGTCTGTATGCTTACAAGCACAACGGACTCTGTAATGAAATTGTATCTGGCTGACAAAGATCAGACACTCCTGCTCAACCCTCCCATGAGCAGTGGGAAACAAAAGGCCTTGGCAGAGAGGTTTAATACTTTTCTTTATAGAAACTGATGAGTATTGAGTGGGAGTAGAGAGGCAGCATTACTTTTGAACTTCACATCACAAGGCTATTATTATGGTTCGGCTCTGACGTCCGTGCTTCAGCAGGGGTGTTAAAAATCACAAGGGATTCAGAGCTAGCAAAGCATTTCAGCGCTTTGTGGGAGAGACTAGGGAAGCAAGATTTCCTTTGGTTATATAACAACCTGTTAATACCATAATGAAAGCAGATTTCAGATATGAGGCAGATCTTTCATTGAACAGAGTTACCTAACAAGATCCAGCAGTTAGAAATTAGACTTCAAACTAGTAAACAAACAGCTGGGCTTCATAGCCATTGTTTCCAAATGGCAAAGAGCTGCTGAGAAAACCTATGAAGTAGAAAACTGGATTCTATGTCATGTAAAGTCTTTAAACCAAGGCTGTGTGCCTTTCTAAAAACAAAATAGACTACAGTTCAATCACATGATATGGCTGCTTCAGCAGTGGAAACCACTGTCCACCTTCTGAAGAAGATTGAACAAAACTACTATAATTGACCCTCTGTTCTCGAAAAAAAAACACCTGTTAATTAATGCTCCTCTGCCATCTCATAGATAGCATAGCACATTATAGAAGAAAGTAAAAGTACTGTTTGTATCAACAAAAGTCATTTTGATCCCTATTTTGGGATTTCCAAAGACAATTCCAAATACCAAAGACAACAAGATCCCAACTACAACCACAAAGCCAGCAAACAACTGCCAACATTCACTCCAGTCTCTAACTTCAGATAGGAATATCATGCTATTTCGAACCAAAAGCATTTCTTAACAAAACAAGACATGCACCTGGAGTATGTGAATGCTAAGTATCCCCCAAGTTTTATAATCTGCTTAACAATTTTAATTAGAATCAATTCAACTGATAACCCAAGAATTGTATCATCTCTGGGAGGCAACATTCCCACACGATTCCACTCCTGCAGCGTACGGGCACAACTGATATTTTTGGCAGGCGTTGCAGATGACATGCTAACACCGTACCTCTCCAACAAGAGTCTTTCTGAAGCAGTCAAAGGTCCCAGAATAGAGCGGAGGCTGACCAGGCTGCGGCTTAGGCTGGGTTTGCAGTCGGACCTAGTAAGACAGGATAGGAAAATGTTGTTTTATTAAGTATTACTATCTAAACTTTGATTCAGAGAACACCTCTATACGACTGTTACAGCGTAAGTTTTGTGACCGGACTTTATGATATTGGTGGAGAGATTAACATCATTTTGGTCCTTCACAGAAGAGACTGAATTTTAATGTAGTTCATTTAACAGCTAACGTATTTAACTAATTAATTGCTGGGACGACATCAGGATAATAACCCCACCTCAACACCTCAGAGCAAACGCGGTGTCACCGCTCAGCTTCCCGACACACCGAGTGCGTGGGCGTACTCTCCTTCTGGACCCTGATTTCACCGTCCCGGTCACCCCCG